GAAAGAGATAAGAGCTCCTGGCAGATAATGGCCGGGCAATGATTAACCCGGGAGCCGAGCGGTGCTATGCGGGACCCCGAGGGGAGGCCCAGGAGACCCCCGTGGGTAAAACTCCCCCCACCCACCGGCTTCAACCCGCTCACTCAGCGAGGATTCTGATGCTGGCCCTGGATGGCAGCACCTCTGTGCGTGGGGGTGGCGGGGGAGGCGTGGGGGGAGCTCTCTGACCCCGGCAGATGCACTGCGGACGATAACGCCGCAGATATGCATGCCTGCGGTGAGACCTGGAGATATGATTGACACTTGGGCGCTGGGAGGCGGCCCGGGGTTGCAGGTGTCAGTCCTGAGCGTAGTGCCTTCTTTAAGCCCAGTTTCCTCAGGCCCACAGAGCCCAGGGGTGGACCTGAACTTGTTCCTCTCCTGCTCAGGGGAGGGAAAGGCCCACCGAGCGCTTTGCCCCTGGTCGAGGGACCCTTCTCCGCGAGGTTCATGCTGGATGAGCGACTCAGGCTCCGTAATGGCCAAGCGAGGCCGGCTTCTGTCCACGGGGCTCCTGTTCCGAGGGGAGCTGTGTGCCTAGCACGGGAGCCCAGGCTCTTACGGCTTCTCATCCCGCGACACAAATGTCAAGGTTGTTTAAAAATGGGTCTCCCTGGCCCGGCGGGCGTGGCTCAGGGGCTGAGCGCTGACCTAGGAACCAGGAGGTCAGGGTTTGATTCCCGAGCAGGGCACAGGCCCGGGTGGTGGACTCGATCCTTGACTTCCATGCCCTTGACCGGAATCGAACCCGGGACCCTTCAGTCCACAGGCCGATGCTCTATCCACTGAGCCAAACCGGTTAGGGCCAGTGTTTTTTTGTTTTGGTTTTGTTTTCTAATTTTTAGAAATAAATGAGAAAATAGAGAGAGAGTGTGCCCCGTGTTCCGACTGGAAGTGTTTACTACGTACATAGACGCCACTGAAAGCCCGCGTGGCCGTGCGCCGTGGGTCCGAGGGACACCCCCCCTCGCAGGATTTTGAAGACACCCCGAGTCTCCTTTCCTATATTTTGTCTCCGTCACCAATACCGCCTGGCTCCCCACGGCAGGTCTCGGATGAGACAGCGGTTCGCACCGACCCTCCTCCTCTTTGTAGATGAGTGAACAACGACCGCATGTCCTGCTTTGTTCCGATGACGCGGGGTTATGGTACAGAACGTGCCAAAGCCACCCAGGGCTGACGGGGAGCATCGCGGGGTGCTGGTCACCCCCCACCCCAGCCCCCTGCCCCCCAGAACCTGTGAGGAACGTGAGCGGCTGCGGGTCCCTCGCTCGCTAGCCCATTAATGAGTGACTCCGGCCTTTTGAAGCTTATCTGTCCGGCTCCTGGATGTAGATGCCCGGCGCTTGTGAGAAATGAACATATTTTTGTGAAAGGGGCTGAGGGCGTCCACGTGACTCAGGGAACAGGTGCTCGGAACCCAGCGGGCGGGCGGCCGGCAGTGAGGAATGCGCGTTCCCTCTGAGCTGGGGAGAGACACACACACAACAGCCCGGGCTCCCCTTCGAGTCATCGGTTTCCTCCATCAAGACGGTCTGACCGCGGCCTCGGGGCGAAGGTGGGCCGCTTCCAGGCCCCCCGCCTTCTGTTTTAAACACCGCCATGAAAAACAGGACACATGTGCACACACACACACACATACACGCACATGCACACATGTACACGCACGCACATGTGCACACTCACACGCACGCACACACAACGAGAACAACTCTACCGAAGAGGCCAGAGCAGTGGTTATCGACCCTGGGGGCCAGCTAGAATCATCTGGGGGGAATCTGAAACGACACACACACCTCATCATCCTGCACTTTGCTTTATCGTGAGAAATAAACCCTTAGAATAAAAGCCTAAGGGACCATTAAGGTGGAAGGAGCAGAACAACCAGTCGCTATGACACACACTGACCACCGGGGGGCAGACGCTCAATGCAGGAGCTGCCCCCTGGCGGTCAGTGCGCTCCCACAGGGCGCAGGCCGGGCTGAGGGACTCCCCACCCCCAGTGCTCGAATTTCATGCACCAGGCCTCTAGTACCGTGGTCGGCAAACCGCGGCTCGGGAGCCACATGCGGCTCTTCGGCCCCTTGAGTGTGGCTCTTCCACAAAATACCACGTGCGGGCGCGCACGTACAGTGCGAAGTTGACTTAACACTTTAAGTCAAGTTGATGAAGTTAATTTTAGGGGACGCTGTGGAGTGAAAGAAGATGTAGCGTCGAGGATGGAGAAAGGTGTGTGGAGATGGGTTGGACATACAGAGAGGATGACCGGAAGGAGAAAGACGAAACAAGTCTACAAGACGAGTGTGGACGGGAGGGTTGGAAGGGGCCGACCTCAGCGAACGTACCTCCGTCAGACTGAGGACGCTTTTAGCGAAGGCCAGCTTAGGAGTCCCCTCATTACGTCAATAACAAGGTACCTACCTGTAGCGTTTAAGTTTAAAAAATGTGGCTCTCAAAAGAGATTTCAGTCGTCGTCCTGTTGCTATCTGGCCCTGTGGACTGGTGAGTTTGCCGACCACTGCCCCCGGCGTAGCCGCTGCCACCGCAGAACGCGTCTACGGCGACCTCCACCTACGGGGACCCGTGTGGGCACGGCTGCGGCAGTCTTCGCTAGCTGGCTTCAGAAGGGACTCGTCAATGATTGACAGGTTAGCCAGTGACTCCAAGTCATCCCTGCCACCCCCCCCCCCCACAGGCCTTTGGCAGCGTCGCCTGGGCCCGCGGGGCGCGAGGATGCTAAAGTTCAGTTAATGAGTGACAGTCGCTGTCAACTTCCTGAAGACGCGCGTCCACGCCCCCGTGGCGGTCTGGTGACCCCGGGTTTTCTCTGGTGGGCACGGCGCCTGGGCGTGCACCAGAGCGGCCCCCCGAGTAGGCGCAGCATTGGGGTGGGTGAAGAACAGGCGCCCGATGACTCACCGTGGAGCGGGCTGATTGCACGGGGTCCTGGGCAGTTTGCAGAAAACGTATAAAGACGGAGCCAATCGCTTCCTGCCAACCAACCCATCGCTTCCCGGGGCATCCTCACGTGAACCCTCACCTAACGGGCGTTGGTCAGTGAGTGGACGCAGGGCCCGGGCTCGTTGGCACTTTAATCAAAGCGAAATCAGCCCTGGCCGGTGTGGTTCGGTGGATAGAGCGTCGGCCTGCGGACTGAAGGGTCCTGGGTTCGATTCCTGGTCAAGGGCACAGGCCGGGGTTGCAGGCTCGATCCCCAGTAGGGGGCGTGCAGGAGGCAGCCGATCCATGATTCTCTCTCATCATGGATGTTTCTCTCTCTCTCTCCCTCTCCCTTCCTCTCTGAACTCAATAAAAATATATTTTAAAAAAACCACCACAAAATAAAATCAGTTTCCTTAACAACGCCCCCCCCCCCAACCCCCGAAGTAGGTAAGGTGTTGGAATGGCGCGTTCGGGCGAGGCGTGATGAGCCAAACTTCCGTCTCTTTCTCTGGAATCCCTGTGAGAACGGGGCCACCTGGCCGGGGAGATAAGTCGCTCTGACACCGGGCTGGCCGGGTGGCGGTGACTCACCGTTTGCCGCTCTAATCATTAAACAGCCTCGGTCGATGTTTTGGCGATGCCAATGGCCAGGTGCCAGCTCCTCCACCTTCCACCTGCGTGGGGTCCTTTTATTTTCATCGAAGGCCTTATGCTTTGTTTGTTTTGTACATCCTCACCCGAGGATATGTGTTCCCATTGGTTTTTAGAGAGCGTGGAAGGGAGGGGGCGAGACGAGAGAGAGAGTGAGAGAGAGAGAGAGGCATCGATGTGAGAGAGACACATCGCCTGGTTGCCCTCCGCAGCTGAGCGTGCGAGAGTGAAGAGGGGACTCCCGGATGTGACCACGGTGATTGCCCCAGAGGGAGCCCGTCCTGGGCAGTTGAGACTGGGAATCTGTGCTTCAGTGTCTCCACTTTTTTTATTTATTTTTAAAATATATTTTTTATAGATTTCAGAGAGGAAAGGAGAGAGAGAACCATCAAGGATGAGAGAGAATCATGGACCGGCCGCCTCCTGCACGCCCCCTGCTGGGAATCGAGCCCACAACCCAGGCACGTGCCCTTGACCGGAATCGAACCCGGGACCCTTCAGTCCGCAGGCGGATGCTCTATCCACTGAGCCACACCGGCCAGGGCTCGGCGTCTCCAGCTTTAACTCGGGGCAGGGTTTGGGGCTCAGGGCCCCGCGAGCGCTGTCGGCCAGCTTTCCTTTTTCTTTTAAAATCAATCAGACGCATTGTTTGCTCCTCCGGGCCTGACAGACGTGTTGTAATACGGCCCCGAGCGGCGCCCGCCTCTCTATGTACCTTCTGTCTAAAGGCCCGTTTGAGCCGTGACCCGCATTCATGGGACCATAAACACCGGGTTTAACCATTAACTCTCGCGCCACCTTGAAACGGATGCTTTCATAAGGCGAGGGTGACAGGGGCTCCCACTGGGTGCTGGGAGGGGGCAGAGAGAGAAGGCTTCGGGCGGACGGAGGGTGTGAAGGGGCTGAGAGTTGGTGGCCGGGACGCCCCGGGTTGGACCCAGCGGAGAACGCGCCTTGACCCGGCCACGTCAGAGAACAGTTTCACTGACATCCCACTGTGCCTGCAGAACATGGGCTCCGTAAGGCCGGCCTGGCTGCGAATAACTTTAAATTGTGGCGATGTCTTGTGTCCATTGGATCACTATTGGATACAATGTATCGTGTCCATTGGATCACAATTGGATACAATGTATCGTGTCCATTGAATCACAATTGGATACAATGTCTTGTGTCCATTGGATCATAACTGGATACAATGTATTGTATCATTGGATCACAA